CCTGGGATTTTCTCTTTTTAAAGAATATTTTTAGAGCTTATAAAAATTGACTAAAAAATAAGAGATTTCTCACCCTTCCAATCTCTCTCTAATCTATAATTAGGTTGCTTTTCCTTTTAAAATGTGTCCTGTGAGATACTGTAGGCCAGACTCCCCTTGTCAAGGCTATAGGCATCAGCTGAGCACTGACACATTCATAGCTGGAAACCAGATCAGCTCACCTGTATGTGATAGGTGTTAGACAAGATAGGTGTTAGAAGGATATTATAGAGACTAAACACATCTTTAGAAGTCTAAGTCGCTGCATGTGTTAACCTTACTTGTAATGTTTGTACCTCATACTATAAGGTAATACATAAGTTTTGCTTTATAACTGTAAAAATGCCTCCTGTGAATTTGTGAACCCAGCTAGGAGGCGAGGTTCCCCCGCCCATCAAGAAGGGCTATCAGAACTAATGTTCATCTACACTAGAGCACTTACAGTGCGTCTGGTGAAGATGCTCTAAGCCGACAGGAGAGAGCTCTCCCATCAGCTTAATAATTACTCCCTCCGGAGAGGCGGTAGCTATGTCTGCAGGAGAAGCTCTCCTGCCAACATAGTGCTGTCTACACCAGTGCTTAGGTTGATATAACTTATGTCGCTCAGGGGTTTGGATTAATCACACCCCTAAGTGATGTAGGTTATACTGAAGTAATTTGTAGTGTAAACAAGGTCTAAGGGGAACATTGAGAAACATCTCGACACAAAGACTGGGCTAATGGCCCTCTCACGTCCATAAGAACATAAGAACGGCCCTACTGGGTCAGGCCAAAGGTCTATCTAGCCCCATATCCTGTCTTCCGTCAGTGGCCAATGACAGGTGCTGCAGAGGGAATGAACAGAACAGGTAATCATCAGGTGATCCATCCCCTATTGCCCATTCCCAGCTTCTGGCAAATGGAGGCTAGGAACATCATCCCTGCCCATCCTGGCTAATAGCCATTGATGAACCACCCCCCTTTTTTAAAAGAACAACCCTTTAAAAGAACAACCCCCTCCATCTGAATCTAGCCATTTTTTAAAAATTAGCATCACATTAGCTGTCCTCCAGTCATCTGGTACAGAAGCGGATTTAAATGATAGGTTACAGACTACAGTTAGCAGTTCTGCAATTTCACATCTGAGTTCCTTCAGAACTCTTGGGTGAATACCATCTGGTCCCAGTGACTTATTACTGTTTAATTTATCAGTTTGTTCCAATCCCTCCTCTAATGGTACCTCAATCTGGGACAGTTTCTCAGATCCGTCACCTAAAAAGAATGGCTTAAGTTTGGGAATCTCCCTCACATCCTCAGCCTTGAAGACCGATGCAAAGAATTCATTTAGTTTCTCCGCAATGACCTTATTATCCTTGAGTGCTCCTTTAGCATCTCGATCATCCAGGGGCCCCACTGGTTGTTTAGCAGACTTCCTGCTTCTGATGTACTTAAAAAAAAAGCTATTACTTTGAGTCTTTGGCTACCTGTTCTTCAAATTCTTTTTTGGCCTTCCTAATTGTATTTTTACACTTCATTTGCCAGTGTTTATGCTCCTTTCTATTTTCCTCACTAGGATTTAACTTCCACTTTTTAAAGGATGCCTTTTTGCCTCTCGCTGCTTCTTTTACTTCGTTGTTGAGCCACGGTGGCTTTTTTGGCTCTCTTACTATGTTTAATTTGGGATATACATTTAAGTTGAGCCTCTATTATGGGGTCTTTAAAAAGTTTCCACGCAGCTTGCAGAGGTTTCACTTTTGGCGCTGTACCCTTTTATTTCTGTTTAACTAACCTCCTCACTTTTGGCAGATAAAGGTGTTACGTGCCAGAAAGCTTGTCCAACCGACTTGAATTCTGGAAGAAGGAAATAAAGATCTCACATAACATTTGTCAATCTTTGCTCTTTGGACTATCATAGGGCTGAAGATATGAAACAAAAGCATTGATCTCCGGGGTCAACATGGTTAACACTGCAAGACATTCATTGCTGACAGATTCAGTCACTTTTTGGAACCATAGACTAACTCATTTGTGTGTATATGTTGCCTGCTTTAACCTGTAACTAACTCATTTTTTTCTCCCTAGTTAATAAATCCTTAATTTACTATAGGATTGGCTACAAACATTGTCCGTAGCATGAAATGAGGTACAAACTGACCTGCAGTAAGTGACTGGTCTGTAGATAGACTGGAATGCACAAGCGGGACTGTCTGTGGATCCATGGTAAGACTGTTATAGGCATTCACATTTGCTACTAGGTTGGTGAAATCTAATTATAAAACATACAGCCAGCTTTGGGTGTCTGCCTTGCTTTTTGACAGTCTGCACTGAGGTTGGTACTCAGAGACATGAACCACTCCAGACAGTATGACAGCCTGTAGGCAAATACATAATTTAGATTTTTAAAAGTGTATTGTTATATGAACATGTGTAATTTCAATATATATGGTACATCTGCACACATTTCTTTAAAATGCGTATTAGACCCACACATGAGATTTCTATCAAATAAATATATATGAATGTATTTTTTATCCTTTCATTTGTTTTAATTTATGCCAAGACTAGAAATGGTCTTGTTAAGGATTTGGAACATGTGCTCATTGTAAGAAAGAATCTCAAACACATGTAAAAAATAAAGCTACGATTTTGTCATGGAGGTCACGGAATCCATGACTTCCAAAGAGCTCTGTGACTTCAGCCCACGGCGGCTGGGAGCTGCAGGGATCCCTTGGCACCCATGGGGGCCATGAACAGCAGGGGCCCCTTGGACCTCTGAGCTGCCAGGGACGGTGGGAGACCCCCCGGAGCTCCAAGCTGGGGCCCCCTCAGCTGCCTAGCCGCCACAGTGTGGGGACTCCACAGCTTCCCCTTTTGTCAGGCATTTTTAGTAAAAGTCAAGGTCACGGGCATCCCTGAATTTTCCTTTATTGCCCATGACCTGTCTGTGACTTTTACTAAAGATATCAGTGACAAAATCTTGGCCTTAGGAATCAAACATGCACAACGGGTGATTTGTTAACCTTTAACGTTAATTATTTTTACTTCATGTTACTAATTGTGTGCCAAATTACATTTGTAAGTAAAAACCATTTGAGTTAGTATAGTTAACTTGAGTTTATACTACTTTTCCCCCCAAAGGAATCCCCAAATACTCTACAGTCTTCAGTAATTGATTGTACAAGGTATCAAGTCAGTGAGAGTTTCGAGCCTAGGATCAGGCCCCTAAGAGCAGGAAGACTGTCAGTTTTATAAGGGGAAAATGCCTGATCCTTTTCCCTCCCACCAAAATTCGGTAGAGAAATATTGCTCGTAGTTGTATGCCAGTTTTCACCCAGAAAGAATCCTTTACAGCAGAAAGGCTGACAAACCCTGAATAATGCAGTCAGTTCTACCAGCAGCATAACTTTTAGAGACACAACCCTCTGCCCCTGCCCCCCAAATAAGGAGCTTTTGCAGAGCAGTGAGTCTGTCAAACTACACAGGACACTAAACTTTCCAATCTATTTAACATTAGCGAACACATCAGTGTGAATCTCTCCTGAGTGAGGGGGCTCTTTAAGCGTCAGATTACCTTGAAATACTTCTTCACTGGGTGCGGGAAAACAGAGAAACAAAGCCAAACAGACGTTCAAACAGCCTCCCCAACACCAGTGTCCTCTCAGTCCGAGAGGAATTTCCCACTGAAACCCAAAGTTAACTTGTGCCATGCGGCGGACGCTGCAGAATTTACCCCAGAGAGCTGTGACCGGAAAGAGCCGCTGATCATCCAAATAAACATGAGAAGTCCCTTGATTAATTTATCCGTATCGACAGCTACCAGGGCGACCATCTGCTCAGCGAGAGGCCCGGGCGCAATCTACCAACATTTCTTCTTTGCTGGATTAACAACTGCAGAGCGGCCGGGAGGCAAAGCCCTGGCTCGGCTCCCTCTGGCTGAAAGTGGGCGTCTTTTCAGAAAGCTTTTTTGGAAGGAGCAGGGGGAATAATGCACAGCTCAAGCCCAGTCCGGCGGAGGATTTACAGGCAAGGAGCAACCCACAAAAAGTTCTTCCCGGGCAAGCGTTCAGAAAAAGACCAAACTAAACCGAGCGACCAGCCGGCCTGGCTACACCGTGTCTGGGTGGCTCAAGAAGCGAGTGTCCCCCTGTGTCTCTCGAGTCCCCGGAGGGCAAAGCCACAGGGTATTGAATTACTTTTTTCATTTCCCCTCTGCCTGTCACTGAGCAGCTGGCAGAGATCAAAACCAGAGCCTCCCCGGGGAGCAGCCTCTTCCCCTCCCCAGCCGAGCGGCTGCCGCGCGTCCAGCCAGCCTGCAGGCGACGGGGAGCGGGGGGTTGCTGCGAAGGGATAAGGAAGGAGGGAAGGAAGAGACGGGGGCGGCCCACGGCGAGCGCTGCGCTGGGAGAAACGCACAGCCCGCTCCATGGAGCGGGGGGCCCGGGATCGAGCTGGGGACCGGGGCCGGCCGGGGGCTGGCTCAGTCCCAGCCCCACACACAAGCTGGGGGACCCGGGGAGCGGCCCCGGGCTAGAGGCAAAGTTACGGGGCGACAGCGAGATCCCCGCAGGGCCGGCGGCGTTGCCACCCGCAGCCCCCGGGGGCAGAGGCGTGCGGACAGCCGAGCGGCCGCGCCTTCGCAGCCTGTGGGCGGAACGTCTCTATCCCAGTACCAGAGTCGGGCGGCTAGCGGGGATCCCGCGGGCTCCTGCCAGCCCTGCCCCAGCTCTCCGCCGCTCCACGGAGCGCAGAGCGAGCCCGCCGCCCCGGCTGACCTCCGGCCCCACGGGCGGGTCTGGCGTACCCTGCCCGGCCCTGCGCCAACGCTCCTCCCGCTCCGGGATCCTTCTGCCCCGCCGGGGTCACCCCAGCCACTGCGCCCCCTGGTGCCACCCCCAATCCACTGCGCCTTTGCCCCGCTCGGAACTCTGCCCATCCTTTCCCCGGGATCCCCCCGTCGCGGGCTGAGGGTCCCAGCGGCTCACCGGAGCAGCGCCCCAGCAGAGGAAGGGCAGGGCGAGCGGGCCGGCCGCTCACAGGTCCTGGGGGGCTCCTCGGCGCTCGCCGCGGGTCCCAGCGCCGCCGCCTCTGCCTTCCGCGTCTCCCTTTGTCTTTCCCAGCCAGTGGGACTGGGCAGGAGCCGGCAGCTCCCGCGTGGGAGCCAGGCGCCCTTCCCGGGAGAGCCTGGGCGAGCCGCTGCTCCGGCCGTTCCTGCCTCCTCCCCAGTTGAGCTTCTCCCAGGCAGGGCTTCCTGCGCACCTAATATAGCGCCTCCAGAGCCACGTGGATCAGAGACAGGGCTAAACACGGCGGCTGCGGCTCCTCCTCAGCCTGAGAGACAGAGTGTGAGAGGGACAGAGGGAGGAGAGGCAGCACAGGGAGAAAAGGGGTGATGGGGGGGGGGGGGAGAAGAAACAGCGAGGGGGCGGCACAGGGAAGGGATGGGTGGGGAGGAAGGGGCGCGATAAAGAGAGAGAAAGAAGCGGAGAGGGGGAGGCTCAGAAAGAGGGAACGCAAGAGACCGAGAAGGAGAGAGTGCGAGAGCGCATGAAAGAGAAAACCAGCGAGAGAGAAGGAGAGGGAGCGGGAGAGAAAGAAGGAGACGCGGGGGCAGAGAAGGGTGTGGAGGCGCCGCAGGCAGCAAGAAGGGGAGAGGAAAAGAGACCGTGCCGGTGGGGAAGAGAAAAGAGGCAACTGCGGAGAGTGTAAGCATGGGAATACCGGACACACCAGTGCTTCAAGGTGCTGTGTAAACCCAAAGCACCCGGGAAAGCGAGGGACACAGACCGGGAATAGGGAGTACAGACAAGAGATTAACTTCAGTGAGTTACACCTGGAAACCTGAGCGGGCAAAGGAAATGAAGTGCAGAGAGGGAGACAGAAGCATAAGTAAGAAGAGGACCAGAATCTGCTCTCCCTCCCCCAGCACGCACGCACAAGGAAGTCAAATCCTTCCCTGCACGGAGAACTGCTGGCCACAGCCCTCCCTTTCTTTATGAGCAGGGAAAGATATGTGCCAGCTTTTTAGATGTTAACAAAAGTGTTTGGACTGGGATTTCCAAAGTTACCTAGGAGACTTAGGTGCCAGGAGTTGGACACCCATGGACAAACATTTCCAAAGCCCCCAAGTGACTTAGGAGCCTAAATTCTGCCTTACTTCATCTCTGGCACCCAAGCCTGAACCTAAAGCTGCTACAAACTAGACATAGTAAGGAAACATCTACTGTAATGCCGGTGTTTGTGACAGTGACCTGCACTATTACTGCTGTCAGCGGGTTCCTTGCCCAGGGCTCACTCACCCAGCCTCTGGTCTGCAGCATACAGGCGTTCCACCACCTCAGTCCAGTCCAGTCCAGTGATGAGAGGCTGGGACCCGGTCTTCTGCCCCTTCAGGGGTTGTCAGCAAACACACAACGAAATGAACATAAATGAATGGCCCCGCAGGTGTGGTCAGGCTCCCTTTCTTCAGAGGGCTTTGGTAGGCTGTGGCCCCAACTGGGCTCAAGGCTAATCTAGAACAATAGTCCCACTAAAAGTCGATCAGCATCCAGCCATCCCTTCCTGGAAGGCAGGGGTTGTCAAGCAGCAGTGGTCCAAGGAGCTCTTGCTTTCAACCAGCCCTTCTCCAGGAGCTGAGGATTAGATGTTTGCTCTCCTCACTGGACTGCCACCAACTGTGCTTAGCTGTCCCACCCTCAACTCCTCCCTCTGAGAGCTCTCCCAGGTGTGGCGGAGGCTGACTGAGCCCACACTAGTCATAGGAACATATGGATTACCATACCACATCAGACCAGTGGTGCATCTGTTCCTGTCTCTGAAAATGGCCAGAAGTAGGTGCAAGAAACTCTGTAATGGATGGTTATGGCCACAGGGAAAGTTTCCTCTTAACCTGATTAGTTAGTGGTTGACTATGTCCTGAAAATAAGGGTTTCTATCCCTTATCGTTTTATCAGAGGTACCATGGGATGTTCACATTACCCATATAAAATGTATAATTCTTTTTTGAGCTCTCAGCCTCAATGTAGTTTCATATAGCAATGAATTCCACAGGTGAATTCTATTAGTCTTTCTTCTGGAATTTCAACTATTCAAGCATCCTACTGAGCTAGTCTTGAAATTTGGGACACTTGTTCTTTATGCCAAGTAGAGAAAAAATATTTGAAATTTGGCTTTTTCATCAGAGATCAACAAATATTATGAATTTACAAACAATAAATTAAACTCTTTTGGGGGATGAGGCCTCCAATATGGGAAAATCCAAGTCATCTATGGTCTCTATTCATCTGTTTTTACTTAAGGAAATTATCAAGGTCAAATGCACACATTGCAGGTACAGAAATTAATAGTCACAGCCACTCAGAGTGGACTGCTAACAACTAGTACAACATAATTGGCTCTGTATCAATTTGTTAACTGTATGATAAGAAATAAACAGCATACAAACTGATAATCTTCTTTCCCAATTGAAGAGGAGTGCAGGTTTAATACTGTACCCATTCCAACATATAAATCAGTGACCTACCTCCTCTGCTGGAGCAGACATCAAACTCAGGATCCCACTAAATAATTCTGAGATAAAATGCCTGCTATAGACAGACGACCTCATTAGATTATCGCCCACCCAAGACTGCTTGCAAAGAATCTATACCTGTTAGAGACCTACTGCAGCACATGGTCCATGGAGGTCATGCTGGAAAAGAGAAATCAAAATCCTGGCCTTTTAAAAAAGGAATTCAAAATTCAAACTTTACTTTGCTGACATGGAAATAGAGGACATTGTAAATTATATATACTGTGGCCTCTCAATAAAAGCATCAGGCAGTTTTAAGATGGCTATAAAATATTGCAAGAATTAAAAAGAATACTATGTCATTGAAGAACCCCCTTGAAACATTCAATTTATAAAGCTACTGCTAAAATTATTTAACAACATATGCAGCTGACTTTACTATGTGAGTGTGAAGTCTGGGATTCATCAATTGCCCCTGAGTAGAAAGGGAAAAATTATACCACCCCAGGTCAAACCAGTGATCTATCTAGTCTAGCAAAAGGTCTCTAATGGTGTCCATGTGGTTCACTGGAGGGGAAATACCTCCATAAAAGGACAATTGTATTATATAATAAAATGGCAATGGGAGACATGTCTTCCTAAGTCCAGACTGGCATTGCAATGCTGAGCGTAAGGACACCTAACTTTTGGGTGCTTAGAAAAAATCACTGAAACACACTGAGGTCCACAAAGCCTGAGTTAGGTGCCCAGGCTCTCTATACAATGAAGGGGTAGAGCAGGGGTTCTCAGACTTTTGTACTCGTGACCCCTTTCACACAGCAAGCCTCTGTGTGCGACCCCCTTATACATTAAAAACACTTTTAAATATATTTAACACCATTATAAATCCTGGAGGCGAAGCGGGGTTTGGGGTGGAGGGTGACAGCCCGCATGTAATAACCCCCCATGTAATAAGCCCCGACCCCCAGTTTGACAGCTCCTGGGGTAGAGAGACAAGTGCCTTAGAATGCAATGCACAAAAGCCAGCACACTAGATTAGGGTGACCAGACAGCAAATGTGAAAAATCGGGACAGGGGGTGGGGGGTAATAGGAGCCTATATAAGAAAAAGACCCCAAAATCCAGACTGTCCCTAGAAAATCAGGACATCTGGTCACCCTACACTAAATGGGGGGGAGGAGCTGCCTAAGATAGCCAGTGGGAGAGGCCAATGACCAGGATGAGTACTAATCTCTGCCTCTCTCATGGAAATTGGTGCCTAAATATCGGCTGCAATCAGAGGCCTAGCTCTGCAAGTGATCCACAAATGTGTAGACATCTCCTGGAGCCAGGTGACTTACTGCCGAAGTAGTTTCTTGCACGAACGTATTTGGCACCTACATTGTTCCATGCAGACTGGCCAAAGGTGATAGCGATGCCTGTTTTATGATTTGTAGCCCACTAGTTAGTTAGGGCACTCACCTAGGATGCTAAAGACCTTGGTTCAATTTCCCCACCCTCTGCTTGAAGGAGAAGAAAAGATTGAACAGGGGATCTCCTACCTCCCTGGAGAGAGCATGCTACCCACTGTGGGGCTCCCTCAAGAAGCTGTTCCATTGTGGATCACTACAGAGTAGTTAGAGCAAGGGGACTAGACGCTGGGTCTCCCACGTTCCACATGAGTGCCCTAACCACCAACCTACACAGTCATTCTCTCTCTCTCTTTCTGCCTCAGTGACTATTTAAGCACTGCATCTCCAACATTTCATTTCTGTGGGTGTTAGGGACCTAAATCCCTTTGTGAATTGCACGCTAAGAGACCAGAAAACAAAACTTGATAGACACTGGGCTTGTCTACATGGGACAGCTATATCAACATAAGCTAAATTGTGAATTTAATTGGCTATAATTATGCCTGTATAACTCCCCATGTGGACACACTTATTCCAGTGTAAGGGGGGCTTTTTTGGATGCAGCGTAAATTAAAGTGGACAAAAAGTTATTCTTATTTCAGAATAAGAGTGTCCACCTGGGAAGTTATACTGGCATAACTATATTGGTTTAAGATACTGGTATAACTGGTCAAATTTTTCCCATGTAGGCAAATCCACATACATTCCTTGCACAACATCATCCCAGATCCAGATTATTGTACATTCAATGAGATTCAAAACTGGACCGTGCTCAAGGTAGAACCCTCAGAAAGGGTTACTGAGGAAACCAGCTCCACAAGCTACACTGATGTGTTGCTAATATTCTAACAAGGTGCTCCCACTAAGAATCTGTCTGCTATGCTCTATGGAATGGGGAGCATATGCCCTACAGAGAAGAGAGATGCTGAATCTGTTTATTTGTTTTCCCATTTAAGCACAATCTAATACCCACAAATCAAGAGAAGACCCAACACTCAGAGACTTAACACAAAAGCTTTGGTAGACCGGTCCTAGGGTTGGGGGTTCCACGACCACCGCTCCCAAGAGAAGGAGGCGGGTGGTGGTGGTCGGGGACTCTCTCCTCAGGGGGACTGAGTCATCTATCTGTCGCCCCGACTGGAAAAACTGAGAATTCTGCTGCTTGCCAGGAACTAGGATTCATGATGTGACGGAGAGACTGCCGAGACTCATCAAGCCCTCGGATCGCTACCCCTTTCTGCTTCTCCACGTGGGCACCAATGATACTGCCAAGAATGACCTTGAGTGGATCACTGCGGACTATGTGGCTCTGGGAAGAAGGAAAAAGGAGTTTGAGGTGCAAG